GGGGGGGGGGCCCCCGGACGACCCGCCCCCAGGGAACGGGGCCGCCCGAACAGGCGCCCGCCGAAATGCCACCGAATGTAGGCGCCATTCCGGCAGCGATGCCTCTTGACGTTGCCGCTTCACGGCGGCATTTCGGCGGCTGCTTGTCCGGTGACCAGTTGGCGGGCGCACATGGATTCCCCGGCGGGCGCCATGGCGCCCACGGGCACCACGTTGGGGACCCCTGATCTAAGATCACCTAAATTTGAAGTGATCCTGCAGAATAATTTTTTTATACTTCATGTTTATCCAATCTCTTGAAGAACCTGTCGGTCCTGTCCCACTGGTTGAATATTGCGCAAGATGCCTTTCAAAGGCAGTCACTACGCTTTCAAACTCAGCAGGAGTGACTCCCTAAAGACTGAGCATGATGTCTCTACAGTATTTCTATTCTCTGCCTAGGAACCATATTCCCAGTTCGATAGTAGAAGCAATGTCTCATAGAACCAATCTCACTTTTCTCTCCCTACCCTTCCCACCCCCCCCCCCCAGTAATAAATTAATTCCTGGAAAAGTTTTTAAACCACTATTGGAAAATGTTTATGATAATTATCAAAAAAAAAACCCTGTGGTGTGGCTTGTCAGATTCAGTCCGAAACTCAATAGAATGCAAGCAATTTGGCCCAGCTTTCCTATCAGTACCTTGTCACTGCTTGTATGACTGCACCGAGTGAAGGTGGGAGGTGTTTAATAAGGAAACAGTATGTAATATTAGTTTTTAGATACCAATTTAAAGATGTATTAATTGAACAGTTCCCTGAGAAAAGGGGTGGGAGACCCATCGCTTGGGAGTTTTAAAATTAGACTGGAAACAAAAACTAGTAAAAATATTATAGTAACTAATCCTGCATTGATAGAGAGATTACCTGTCTAACTTAATATAGGTCTGTTCTATAGAAATATTTTCTGTACAGACCTTTTCACTACAATTGTGGGATTATTTTGTATTTCATTTTTCTGTCTAGGCGAGAATATCCACCACAGATTACTCCCAAAATGTATCTCTTGGAATGGTGTAGGAAGGCGAAGCACCCACAACCTGTTTATGAAACTGTGAGTCTCTGCATTTCTCAGCAAAAGTACAAGGCAGATCCTTAGCTAATACATTTATGCCATAGTTTACTGGGGACTGTCAGGAAACTGATTTGATTGGTTTGAAACAAGATGATCTCAAAGTTTAAAAATTCTTTTTTATTTTTAAACAGGAGTTTTGTTGACACAGTTGCTAGACAGTTTGGTATGGACACACATGTAGATTACGGGGAGTTATAGCATGAAATTAACACATTTCTGCAGCATAGAAACATTTTTCTTTAGGTGTGAAATTTGACCTCCCTTAAAATCCAATGAAAATGTCCATTATTTTTTCTGTATGAAACTAGTGATCTGTTTTAGTACTCAAGTACTGGGCTAGCTTCCCCCTTACAATTCTGTCTATTATCAGAGGGGTAGCTGTGTTAGTCTGAATCTGTAAAAAGCATCAGAGGGTCCTGTGGCACCTTTAAGACTAACAGAAGTATTGGGAGCATAAGCTTTCGTGGGTAAGAACCTCACTTCTTCAGATGCAATTCTGTCTATGTATCTCAATTCTGACCTGCACTTCTTCCCACTGCCACCCCCCCCCCCCCCGGTGGGCGCCTCAAGTGGAAATGGTCAATTGTGAGGTAATTTTGTAATACACAGAGCAAGTGATATGGATGAAACCATCACATTTATTAATTATATTTCACTGCGCCTACATTTGAACTCATTCCTGTGTAAATGAAAGAAGTAGTGTCTTACTTCAGTGGACCACCCTGTCGTTATGTCCAGATTATAAACATTTTTAAATTCACTAATAGCATTTTTAAAAATGCCATTTTGCTGTGTTCCTGAAAAAATGTGTGCACTGCCTGTCTGAATTTTCCTTGTGTCTCTGGAAACACATGATAAATAATACTGTATCTAATACTGAAAAGCTAAATGAGACATGGAATATTAGAATGCAGCACCACTGAATTCCTAGAATTGTGTTCATTCTTGCTAATGTCATCTAGGATGTCACAAGTCTGCTTTTTCTTTTCTGTCTAGGCAGCAGCAATTTTTGCAACTGCTGTGGTAGACAAACAAGAAAAACATGTTTATAAAATGAGTGCAAACAACTGTTGCAAAAGGACATCTTAATTTCAAAATTCTAACAGTCTACTCCATGTCATAAGTGCTATGCCAGGTAGTTCATGTTTGCAGGATCAGGTTTCTAAGTGATTAAGCAAAGGTAAAGAACCCTGTAGTGGTGTGATTTGGGCCTGTAACTTTTATCAGTATAAGTTTTACAAAGTTTGGATTTAGAGTCTCTTTTATATAAGAAAAACTAGACAAGTAATGAAATTGAAAGGCAACGGATTTAAAACTGATAAAAGAAAATACAATTTTTAATACAACACAACTTACTGTGGAATTCATTGCTGCAGGATATGATTTAAATCCAAGAGCTTAGCAGGATTCAAAAGGGTTAGATGTGAACATGGATAATATCAACAGTTTTATTAGGTGGCATAAACATATATGAGAGACAAACCCTCAATCTGTTACTGACTAGGGTTGGGAAGAAATTTCCAGTATGCACAGGTTATGATGTAATTGTTACAAGGTTTCTTGTACTTGCCTATGTTGCATCTGGTGCTAGCTGTTGTTGGAGATAGGGGTAAGTGCAATGTGCCTATCAAGCAGTTCTTGAAGCAACTCTAGTTTGGACAACAGATTCCTTGAGTATTTTGAACATGTGAGGGGAATTTTGCAGTGTGAAGGCTTAGAATGTTAATGGTGTTACATGCTCCCAGAGTAAAAACAAGACTAGGAAGGACTCTGTGTTGTTGCTTGTTTTACAAAATGCAGTAAGTTCCACCTGTAATTCTCTCCTTTCTCTAGGTTCAAAGACCATTAGATAAATTATTCTGTTCAGTTGTCACAGTAGCTGAACAAAAATATAGATCAACCTTATGGTAAGTCTTCTCTGATGTGTTTTGTAACTGTACCTTAATAAAATATTTGTTTCTGTGATGTACTGTTGGAAAGGCAACATGTAAACATGGAGAGAAAAAATACTAAGTAAACTTTACTTTATAAAGATATAACTGGGAAGGAAAAAACTTTAAAATGTTTCTGTAAAGTGGGACATGATTAACTGAGACATGCCAAGGAGGAGCGAGTTCCATAGCTGAGGGCCCTTCATAGCAGAAAGACTGTCTCCAGTAGTAGGATCCTTAAAAGGTAAATAGTGTGTGAGCCCATATTTCCACTGGGACAGTCCTCAAGGTGGCCTCAAATAAGGCAAAGGCCTCGAACATTAAGAGTTTTAAACTGTTCTACTAGAAAAAACATTTCCCCACCAATATTTGAGCTATGAGCTTTGCATGGAAAACTTTGTCAAAGTGATGCCATACTTCCTAATCTTACCCACTGTTTTCATAACATTCCCTCAGTAAGCAAGGGATTTTTGAGGGAAGACTTGGCCATTCTCATGACAATAACCTTTACCCAGCAGCAAGACTTCTCTTTTTTTCAGGATGGAGAACAAGATACAATCCAGTTGGCAACTAGAGCTGGGTGAATAATTGATCAGAAGAATTTGGTTTGTTTCTAACCAAAACTGTATTTTTTTTCTGTTTTTCATGCTGAAATGAAAAACCAAAAATATTTCCTTTGGATCAGTTAACATTTGACATTTTTGGAAGTAGATGGCAATATTATCAACTTTTGCTCCAGAGCAGCGACAGAACTTGTTGGATTCATAAAGCGAAAGAGGTGGTTGCGTATCAGCAGCATTCTGATGATACTCATCCCAGAGTTTAGGAATATTATGTATCTATTTCTTTGAACGAAGTCTTATAATGGTTCAGGCCTGGGATACTCGAGCTTATAGTGAAAATCAGATTACATTAATTTAATTGTTTTATAGAATAGATTTAACAAAAATGGGTGTATGTTGCAATATAGGAGACACAATGAAACAGACATATTGTAATCAAATATATTGACTATAAAATATCTTTGTATTTGTGTAACAAGTCAGCTTTATTTCACCGCACTGCTCCGTGGCATTTTGTCCTCTGATCTACACAAACTTTTCCATGTGCTTACTGGAAACCCCCTTTCCTGCTCTTTCCTTCTCACTTTGAAGACAGGAGGAGTTTTTCCATGGGTTAGAGTGGGAGCTAGATTGGAGCCCTAGTCCAATTTAGGAATATTTACAGATTCATATTTTTATAAATGTTCTGCCTTATTGTACTGTGAATACCTTCAGTAACTCAATGAATAAATAAAATAAAGTGAAATGTTACATAAAGGTATGAAGGTAGCAACTTTTTAAAATGTTTCTTATCCCAAGACTATGTTAAAAAAACAACAACCTAAAGCTGGGAAGAAATCTGTCTATAGTTTGAACTAATTAATTTATTGAAACACTGAATCTGAAATGCCAATGATGATAAATACTCAGCACTTGAAAAGCATTCTTCATCCATAGATCCCATCAAAGATAAGTAGTATTCCCATTTTACAAATAAAAAATGAGGCAGAGAGGGGTTAGGTAACTTGCCGGAAGTCACATAGTAAATCAGTAGCTGCCTCAATTGATGCACTAAGGTTCCACAATAATATTTTATAGAAGCATCTATTAATAATGGAATTCCTTGAGTTTGTTGCAGGCAGATATACTTAGGATCGCATCTAGTAAATTGCAATTGAAGATCAGTGTTGGACAAATCCCCTTTTCATACGTATATACAACAGACAGCAGGTTATTTTAGCATTGTGCTTCCAATGCTATAATTGTCCATCAGCATTCCCATGAAGTACTCAGACTTCAGCAAACTTCCAGCTAGACCATAATTCTCATTCCAACCTTCGCTGAATTAAGAGAAACAGAATCCTTTCATGTGTTAAGTTTCAAGAACATATAACCCTGTCCTCAAAGCTAGTTTGTTGGGTTTCAGTCCTGGTGGAGCTGTGCTCATTTTCGTTGACTTCAGTGGAATTGCACTCACATTAGGGATAAATTTGGACTTGAGGATCTTTCCATAAATTCTTTTAAACTCCGTGTGGTTTATTCAGGGCTTTTGATGTTAGTAGGAGTAAGGGTTGCAGCAATTGGCCAAACTCCTATTGATGTCCTACCTTCTGAGTCAAGACTGTGGGGACTGCAGGATTTGGCTCCGTATTCTTAGACGGCGTTCTCTTACTTGGAGTGACACAGGCACCTAAAGAGAGGTGAATGTGCCTCTGGAACTGAGCTCTTTTCTTTTCCACCTGTTAGGCTGTCGTAGGTCTTGCATACTGTTTATTTCACTGTGTTGCAGCAGAGACAGGAAATTAATTCTTTCAGGCATGTAAAATATTGTACTTGGCAATATGCAGGCTTTGCTTTTACTTTTACCTGTGCTCTGTCTTACTCTTCAGGGACAAGTCAAAGAAGCTAGCAGAACAGGCGGCAGCTATAGTCTGTCTTAGGACTCTGGGTCTCCCAGAGGGGAAGCTTAACGAGGGAGAAAACCACCTGATTAACAAACGCAAGAGAGAGAACGAGGAGTTCCTGAACAACAAAGAACATGAAGATGACCACCTTGTTGAGGCTTCACATAAAAGAGCTCATTTTACTGAGGGAGCTTCTGACTCCAGCTCTTCTGAGGTGCCACAATAGCATGAAAAGCAAGCATTCCACAACTGTGCAGCTACCAATTCACTTGCTTTTTTTTATATCCTGCTATTATATTTCATCTAGACTCTATCAGTCGGAGACAGGTAAACTCTGCCCGATTATGAAAACCTACTGTACTGGGTAAATGGTTTTTGTTTTTTGCTTTGGTGCCTTTCAAACAGGATAAATTAGCAGCCTGGGTTTTAAATAAGAATGAGAAGATGATCCCAACATTAAATTCTGTTTCAATAGTAAACTATTTTCAGTTTAGCTTTTGAAGTGTTGAGGTTTTTGTTTAATATATTTTATAAGTAGAAAAAAGTTTTAAACACACACGAAAGAGGTTCTTAATAGATTGTTTCCAACTGTTGTAGTTTTGGTGTAGTTTTCATTAACAGGGATAAGTATGTTAGAAGTTGTCAGCTCTTGTCTGAAAATACCTGTAGCAGGTTGTGTCATGATCCCTAAAGTATTTTGTATGAAGAAGATATTCAAAACATAATTCATTGTTGGTGAACTAAATCAAAGTGGCTTCCCTATTTAAAAAATAATATACACCTTTATTTTAAATGGAAGTGTCTTCGCTAAACCATTGTTTTCTAACGGAACAGCAATATCTAACTGGGATTGTATTTAGAGTTTTTAAATCAAAAAGATGTACGTGCATATTAAAAGTGACAGCTACTCAAATTTCTGAATTTTTAATAAATCTGCATAGTTTGCATTTAACTGAAAAATAATTGCAATTCGTTTCCTACTTTGTAGACTGCAGTTAAAACCGTTTTAAAAGCTGCTTTCAGAACTAAATGTTCCAGTTTCACACAATGGTTTTAGTCACAGAACACTTCAGAGCAGTGACAGAATTTGCAGTCTAGTTAACAAGCCATAAACTTCAGGAATAATCCTTTCCTCACTGAGATTCATGTCTGGGGCAGGAGCTTTTGTCAAGGGCGTTTTTAGACCGTCACAAGGAATGGTCATGCAAATACTATACCAGAATCTGATTCATTCCCTGAGTTTTGCTGGCAGAACGCAGGTTGCAAGGTCCAGTGATAAGAAGCAGCACAAGTTGACTGCAATCAAGCTCTGCTGGACAGGTCAGAATTGAGCAGTGCATCCCCAGTTCTGAGAGAAAGCATAACTGGAGCACCTGGGAGATCCACTGGAGCTCTTCTGGATCACCATCCATAGTTTCCTGGCAGGAAGTGGCCAGGCATATTGCGGGATCACCATCTATGCTATCATTTACTGCCAGGGAGGAAACTGCCACAATGGAAGATGCAAACTGCAAATCCTGCACCTCTGGGAGAAGGTTTATTAACCCCCAGTCTGACCAAAACTCGAATTTCTTGATTCTCTTAGTTTAAATAAAGCCGTGTGTCCTGGAGAGTGGTGATGTATCCCTGGAAGAAGATGCTGGCTGACAGTAGAGACCAGGTGACTTTTAACAGCCACACTTTAGTGTTGCCTGTTCCGTCCCATTTGCTATGGCATTCCCTTCAGTAGGCTGTGGGGTTGGACAGCCAGAGAGCATCCTATCAAAGAAGGGAGCAGCCTTTGAAAAGTCTTTGATTCGGCTTCCTAGCTTCTCTCTCCCTCTGAATCTTAGTTTATTCAAAGGTTTTGCATACACAGGCTTGTCCTCTTCCATAAGTAAAATGTAAAGTTCTTATAAGTGACATAATTTGAGGTCATTTTATGTTTGCATGTCAAAAATAATAGTCTTTTAAAAACTTTTTTTTCCTGGAAAGCCAGGGAACTTATGTCCCTTAGTGCCTGCATAATACTCACATGAGCCTTAGTATCAGTGCTGCATTCACCACTAAAGGTTTATGGAATATTTGGGCCAAATAGGGTCTTCAAACACAAGAACCAGAGGAGCAGCATAATGGAATGTTTGTACCCTAGTTCTGACTCCCTTTGAAGCGCCCAGAGAAGTCACTCAGCAGAAGGTCAGCAATTGAAGGCATGGGGCATTCTAGGATGGAAGCCTAAGGGCCATGGCCTGTGTTGCAATGCTATTACACCATTTTCTTGTCCTGGCAACTGGCCCTACATGACACCCCCCAACAAGCTACACCTTTCTCTACTCTTGGCAGAAACAGTATGCCTTGGGAAATAGAATTGTGAAGGGAACCATAGCTGGTCAGCATACAGATGCACATTAACCCTGCTTTTATAGTATCTATGTGCACCAGTTCGGGGGTGGTCAGAAAGGGACTATTTGGTATATGGCCTCTTGTGGGGAAGAGAGAATGGAAAAATTAAACATAGGGAAATAATAGAAGATCAGAGAAGGTGCTGCCTTAATTTAATATCAATGTCCAAAGAAAATATGATCAATATTTTTAGTGTGCAACTACAAAACATGTATATTGTGAATTGGCTGAATCAAACTGAAGTATCATTGAAATAAGTTAAATTGTCTAGAAGACCTAATGCTTGCAAGGTAAGTGTTTAAATAACTATGTGATCACAAATCATTATTTTATTTATCTAGTATGACATTTGTATAAGTAACTACAGTTAGTTGAATAGTATATAATTATGGTAAGATAAACAGTGAAGCATCTGCAAACAAGAAAGTGAGATGCTGCTTTGCTAGAATGAATATTTCAGGCTAAATTTGGCAGTGATGTAAATGAAAAATGGTCAAAAAATGGTTGCATACAAAGTGTGATTTATGCTGCCATTTGATGTCCTCGATGTGGGTCAGGAAAAGCAACTAATGGGAGTCTGTAAGTGTTTGTGAGGGAGAATCCTTTATCTGATGCTATGATTACACTGCCCCATGGTTCAGCCTTTGAGGGCATGAACAGCAGTGCACATCAAAGGGCTGTGCGCTATCTCCCCTATGTGGACACCGTGGTCACAAACTAAAAGGTTCTTAGTTTTCATTAATGTCTTTCTGTTTGCAGAGGACTATGTTAATGTGAACAGGGAACCTTTTAGTTCACTCCTGAAACGGCCACACAGGAGAGTTACAGAGTGCAGCACTTTGGTGTGCACTGCCGTTCGCGTCCTTGTAGTCCAAACTGCAGGGCAGCATAGACCAGCCTTAATTGCTCTTTCTGCTGCATTCCTCCTAACCCACTTTCCTCTGCTATGTAACTTTTTGCACCATTCACATCACTGAATTCATGCTAGATACATCTGTGATAGTGGCACCTGCATATACCAGATGTGAGGTTTGCTTTTGATCTTAAAACAGGTTCTTATTCTGGGGAACAAAATGCCTTTTTTTCTAGAGACTGTTCTATTCAAGGTATTGGATTGGAACCATATCTTTTGTTTAAAAAATAAAATAAAATTAAAATAAAATAAATTAAAAAATATATAGACTGTGGCTCATCTATAATACAATTTGTCGTTTATATTTTCTGCATTCTCTCTTGGCTAAAAATGGATTTATTTTCTGCGTATTCCTTGTATAAACTGAAGATGGCAGATGTCTTTTGTGCAAATGCCAATTCCTATACTAATGTATCTTAGCAATACAGCTATGCACTACTGCATTCTTGCATAAGATGGCAATCCAGACCATAGCTTGGATTTCAAGAAGAAATTTAACACCAATCATAAGAAATTGTCTGCTTAATTTAATGTGGCCATGCTATATGAATATGGTAGTCAGATAATATTGACAGAAGTCATTCTCTGTTTTAAGCATTTGTTTGGTAACGGAATTTCACTACTAAATAGTCCTTGGAATTTAATGAACAATTGTTCTTTTCTGTCACAAGATAAAAAATATGTGAAGCCATGCTTGATTCTTGACATTGATGGCACTGGGACAAGAAAATATAGGTAACAATACCCTGCAACATGTGAGGATTAACTGTACAGGATCTCTGTGTGTAGGGAGCGTATAATACTACTCTGTTTATTTGTAACGTGAATGGGAATGTGAAGGCGTTCTTCTGAGCCTTTTATCTTGGATGCTCCCAAGTTGTAGACTACCTCCTGAGGCCTTGTTGGTGGAATGCTTTTTGGAATGTCCCAGGCTCCAAGCCCAACCCTGCCCTGGAATGTGAGGTTAAATGTTGGCGGTACAAACACAGAGTTTGAATATTTAAATTGTAGAGTTCCCTGGTACTGCAGTTTCAGAAAGCTGGCAAGTGTCAGCTCAGCTGCTGTCTGATTCAAAGAGTAAAAATGTCTTTAGGTTTGTTTGGTTTTTTTTTTTTCGAGTGGAGGGTTCACTTACCCGTTATGACCCGCAGAGGAGCACAGTTTTCAAAGTGCTTTACCCAGCAAGCCTGCAACTGGTCACAAACAGGTGCTGGCTTGTTAAAGAAGCTCTCATTCACAAAAGTGTTTTGTTACTTGTTTTGTAGTCAAAGCCATGGGCCCATTGTGTCTGAGGGTATGTCTACATTGCAATAAAACATCCATGGCTGGCCCAGGTCAACTGACTCAGGCTCATGGGGCTATAAAACTGCAGTGTAATTGTTTGGGTTCAGCTGGAGCCTGGGCTCTGGGACTCTCCTCCCGTTAGGTTTCAAAGCCCGGTCTCCAGCCCTAGCCCCAACATCTACAGTGTCATTTTATAGCCCCACAGCCTAATCCTTATGAGCCCAAGTCAGCTGACCCAGGGGAGCCACGGGTGTTTTATTGCAGTGTAGACATACCTTCAGAGGCCAAATATCATGTTAAACAGGGAGGCTGTTTGTATTAGTGTTTACAAAAGGGGTCAGAGGCAAGAGGAACTGTTCTAGATTGGTGATGTGGCTTGTAATGTTAGTGGTGACCCCTCTGCTGCTATGAATAAGCTTATGTTTGAGTCTTATTCTCTCACTGAGGACAGAGCTGATAGAAAATAGTGAAGGCAACATGAGAAGCCATTGAGGAGAGGGGATTGCCTGTATTGTTGATCAGCAGTTCCTTAGGTCAGTTGAGGACTGGAGTTGATGAGCTGCTATGGGAGTCAAGACCACCCATCCTTACTCAGAAAAATAGTAAGCTCAATGGCTGTGAAATAGCAGCTGAAAAAATGCATGGCATTCATGTCTGTGTATAGTATTCACTTAACTGGCAAATGAAAATGTCAGTGCCAGACAGTTAATGGGAATCTGCCTGTTCAATATCTGTTGGATCAATAAATTAATGCCTGCCCCCTGTCCCCAGGTGGTGGGGGAGAGTCTGTTTTCCTTGTTTTTAGCATGATCTTGTCTTATTCTGGCAAATCTCCTATTTTATTCCTGTGGTATTTTACAAAATACTGTGTACTGAGTGACACTGTTCACTCTGAATTTGTTTTCCATTTCAGTCACTCCAGACCAAATGATGCTACAACTCCAGATTGTGTGATTATGTGAAAGATGGGGTTGCTGATTTACTGTCTTTAAAAGATTCCGCTTAGCTGGTGATTGTAACTGAAACATTGATCATGTAACTGTGGGCATGTATAACTGATTGGTGCTCTGGGTGCAACTTATGGAACTGGACCTGGACACTGATCTGCTATCTTGATCTGTAACCACTAGTATTAGAGCTGTGCACATATATCTGACTGTTTTATAATAATATCTTTGTTGATTTGCAAAATATTAACACACACATTACCTTCAGTAGGAATTTTGGGCCAAATATAAATTTCTATGTGCCAGTGTTGGTGAAGCAAAATTTGGTAATTTTAGCCCAACTCTAATCCTGGACTGTGGCTGTTGTCTTTCATTTTTCTTGTGTGCATGGCTAATTTCACTTCATATTGAAAATGAGCTAAAGCAAAGGAATC